AGTAAAAATAGATGAAGTAAATGTTTAAAAGTGATATATTTAACCATTGTTATTATTATTATTGAAAGAGATTTATTTTCATGAAGAGTTATGCAGATAGAAGAGGTTTTTTGACCTTGGTGGATAACAGCCCCCAAGATCTATCAAATGAAAGATGAAAAAAACATGATTCATTCAAATAATAAGTTCTTATTACAGCTTTACCTCTTCAAAACGTTTGCCTGTTTCTTAGTGCAGTTTCAGAATTTGAAGAGGTGTTTTAACCTTACATGCTCCAAAAAAGTATCTGACATCTATTGCGCATTTAAAATCTTTTGCATATCCTTGCATTTGTTGCAATAAATGTTCCACTGTAGTCAGAAATATGGCCTATTTTGCCATTTTCTGAGTTCACTCATGCCAAAACAGTTGGACTGTTATGCCACTGCCTGACCATTAGCACGAGCAAAGTTTTGGCAGAGGAGGTCTGAAGTGTGTGGGTAATGGTCAGGAGACACTCTGTGCTTGCGAGAATGGCAGCTTCACCACCAAAATTCTCACACCCTCAACAACAATGCTGCCAGCTATGCAGGCTAATCTTGACCATTATAATTTTTGTACTGAAAAAGGCATTGTTGCATGAATGCATGGTAACTCAGCTGGCGGCTGCCATATTAGATTAGCTTAAGCATTACTTCATGGCAGATAGCAAAACCACCAAAAAAAGGAAAACTTTAAACTGGTTTGTCAGTTCTGTGTTAACAGAGTGCACAATAATTATTGAATGATTCTGTGTCAACACAATTTCTGGTCAAAAATATGTTGGGTACAATGTGAACGCTGCCTAAAACAGCAGCACTTATATTATTAAATTTTACGATCATTTTAAATATACTGGTTGGGAATATATTTATGAAATTGTTGACTGAAATATTCTGGTGGGCTCTTCATGTAACTGATGTGATGTAACAATTTGAAGAGTTGTCATAATATTATTAATATATTGTATTAAATGGAGAGAAGCTGGATCAAAGTGTGCTTTGATGAATTTCTTGTGTCCAATTGAAAAATATCCTGTTCTGTAAATTGCAATCAGGGTTAAATATTGACATTCTTGTTTAAGTTTCAATTCAGTCATTTTTATAGTGTAATGTTCCCTTGATACACATCCTTTTTATGGCATTCACAAAATATATAATGCTGAGAAATAACTTTTAACTTAAGGTGCAGGGATGTCACTAAGATTTCGAATTGCCGGGTAAATACAACAAGTAGTCGGTGAATATAAAACAGCTAGGGATTTCTTTTGGTTCTATTTTTCTTCTATTTTTCTATGAAAGTAGCCTGGGGTAGCCAGGGGAAATTCCCAGCCCCCGCCTTAGCCCTTTAGGGTGGCCCCTTCCTTCTCCATGAAATTGTTCTTTTCTTTGTCAAAGATATGTTTGTTTTCTCAGGTATGCAGAATAGTTTATTTTCCTAAATCCTCCCAAATCTCTCAGTTTTTCCTAAATTGTTTCTATTATTCACTCCTTGGTTACATTATTTTACTGTTTCTAGGAACATTTGATTGGCTCTCACTGTAGAGAGCAAATAATGATACATAATATACAGTTAATCTTAATTTTTGCATTTGTTATGTAAATTTTGACTACTGCTGTACTATAGAAGCAGCTTTTCAAGGTCCATGTTAAGGGTGAATTAAATTTGAAAATCTGGATTTGGATTTGCAATCGAATGTGAAATCCAAAAATGAATTTGAACACTGAGAAAACTGCTCATTGATCTTCCTTTCTTCCATTTCTTTGGGAGATCCGAACAAAACTGTTCCTTAAAGGAGCTGTGTCAAGAAATTCAGCCAAATTAGGAAATTACAAAATGCCTGTTAAATTAAGAGAAACATAAAAATATTAAACTGCTGAAAAATTTAAAGGAAGGTTAAAATAACATAACAGAAACAACAGATGCCACGGATGGGCAAAACTGAAGAAGATTGAAACGGATTGAAATTAGGGTTTTTGAAAACTGTTCAGCCCTAACAGTTTTTCAAAGTTGATCCCTGCTACTTGCAACTTCAAAAATAATGCTCAGGAGACATATTTGTTTGTCTTGGATCTCTGATTTTGTCATTTACATGTAATTTCTTTGCTTACTTTAAGTTTCATAGCGATTTAGGGCGAGTAATTGGCAAAATTAAACAAAATGAACTGGACTGCCGTGACACAGCCCCTTTAAGAACAGTTTCACACACTCATGCATAAGAAATGTCAACAAGACTAATGTTCACAAGAACAGTTTTTGAATTCCTTTTCTGGATTTCCCAATTGAAGGGTAAAGTAGGAAATCTACCTTGAAGACAGATTTCCATTTTCAGATTTCCCGTTCAATTGCAAAATGCAAATAATTATTGTTTGGGTTTCATAATCTAAATACAGATTTCCCAATCGAACACACGCTACATTGAAAGTGGTCAGGTAATATAGGGTTCGCACAGGTTATGAAAAACCTGGAAAGTCATGGAATGTAAGAATTTCATTTTCAAGGCCTGGAGAGTCATGGAAAATTAAAGTTTTGTTTGGTAGATAAGTTGCTGCAGATGACAAAGCAAGGATAATGTAAGATAAAGACAAGTAACTAAACAGTGCGAACGGCACGCATTTTGGTGGATACCAGAGTTTGTTTCTGTTGAAAAGTTTAAGGTAAAAAAATAGGCTAAAACAAGTAAAGTTTTCAAAATTTTTGAAAATGACAGCTAAACCTAAGGTCATGGAAAACTGGAAAAGGTCATGGAAAAAGTCAGGGAATTTTAAGAATTCAAAAGAGTACGAACCCTGTAATATGTTATATCATCATTCAAGGTTGTCAAAAGTAGCCGGCTGCTGGAGAAAATTGCCACCTACTTGGTTAGTATCGGCCAGCTACTTTGCTCAGCATTTCTTTACAGATGGCGTTTTTTAGAAAAAAAATCCCTGAACTGACTGCTTACTTTGACAACTCAGCGGTGTACTTCAAAATTTTTTGACAACCCTGATCATTACAAGCACAATAATATATGGAAGGAATAATAGTGATACTTGTGTGGACATCACCTATTCAATTGATATTAATGTGCCAACTAGAAGCCCATTGGTTCTTTTAACAAAAGATTCTTTCGTTTAACTGCGTACATATTTGAATAACGAAAAACAATGTTTGTTAGCAGTGATGTCTCGTACAGAAAAAAAACTGCAGTTTAAAGATAATTATATATACATATTATTAATGTCAGCTAGCCTGGCTGGAGCCTGGAACGAAATTTTAATCATATTATTTAACTCTGCTTTTCTGTATATTCCATATAAAGTCTCGGATGTAGAAATCTTCAGTTAATACGTCTTTTGATTCCACTATTTTATCATCCTCATGCATTTAGACATGAGCGTCTGTTTATGGGCTTGACATATGGCAATCTCAAACACAGCGGCGAACGCAAGCATCAGAGTTCACCAGCGGAAGTAGTATGGCAAGATAGTATTCTCTGTCCTTTAAAGAAAATTAATGATTCCTGTCATAATCCACAAAACAGTCATCTTTTCTTCTTTTTTTCCCACTTCAATCTCGTTTGTGATTGGGCAGTTGTTTGTCCGTGAACCTTTCGAGATTTGCTGTCTATTTCTGGCAAAGCGTCGTTCTCGTGTGCAGATTTATCTGAAGGAATTACTACAATTGCCAATATACAAATCAGCTGAAAAATACCGCCAATGAAAAGTCCATAATGAAGTACCAACTCCCAGAAAGACTTGTCCTCCATAATCAAACGCTAGTCAAACGCTGGACGCTTCGCACTCTTCATTGACTACGTTATGTAAAATTTTTAAAAAGTAACCATACCTCCTCTTTCCCAGAGCCTCTCGGAATTTTTCTCCGAACATCATCAAGACACAATGATTTATCTAAATGACGTACTAGGTTGCTTGGGCAATCCATCATGGCGTTGCGTCTACCATTTAATCCCAAAGACTATGGCTTATCCGAAGCATTTCGTCTCATAAACTACACCAAGCTTAAAGGATGAGGATGCAAAGTCCCTCAGGAGGAACTGCTCAAACTTCTAGAGGGACTTGGCGTGAATAAAGAGGAGGGGAAAATTGGAGTAGGGATGGACAGTTGCGTTCTTCCAACAAGACACGAGGGAATATTCATTGTTCAAACCACGGATTTCTTCTACCCTCTTGTAGATGATCCTTATATGCAAGGGAAGATCGCCTGTGCCAACGTTCTAAGTGATCTGTACGCCATGGGGGTTACCAATTGTGATAACATGCTTATGCTTCTTGGCGTTAGTAATCAGATGACTCTAAAGGAACGCGAAGTCGTGACACCGCTTGTCATCAAGGGATTCAATGACTTAGCTTTGGAAGCGGGCACTACAGTTAATGGTGGACAAACTGTGCTCAATCCTTGGTTTATTGTTGGTGGAGTTGCTTCAAGTGTGGTGTCCAACAGCGAGTTTATTATGTGAGTTTAATTTGCTTAAGCTAATAAAATATTAACAGCTACTGCATATGATTGGCTCTCACTGTAGAGAGCAAATAATGATACATAATATACAGTTAATCTTAATTTTTGCATTTGTTATGTAAATTTTGACTACTGCTGTACTATAGAAGCAGCTTTTCAAGGTCCATGTTAAGGGTGCATTAAATTTGAAAAATCTGGATTTGGATTTGCAATCGAATGTGAAATCCAAAAATGAATTTTATCACTGAGAAAACTGCTCATTAATCTTCCTTTCTTCCATTTCTTTGGGAGATCCAAACAAAACTGTTCTTAAGAACAGCAGTTTCACACACTCATGCATAAGAAATGTCAACAAGACTAATGTTCACAAGAACGGTTTTTGAATTCCTTTTCTGGATTTCCCAATTGAAGGGTAAAGTAGGAAATCTACCTTGAAGACAGATTTCCGTTTTCAGATTTCCCGTTCAATTGCAAAATGCAAATAATTATTGTTTGGGTTTTATAATCTAAATACAGATTTCCCAATCGAACACACGCTACATTGAAAGTGGTCAGGTAATATAGGGTTCGTACAGGTTATGAAAAACCTGGAATGTCATGGAATGTAAGAATTTCATTTTCAAGGCCTGGAGAGTCATGGAAAATTAAAGTTTTGTTTGGTAGATAAGTTGCCGCAGATGACAAAGCAAGGATAATGTAAGATAAAGATGAGTAACTAAACATCACGAATGGCACGCATTTTGGTGGATACCAGAGTTTGTTTCTGTTGAACTGTTTAAGGTAAAAAAATAGGCTAAAACAAGTAAAGTTTTCAAAATTTTTGAAAATGACGGCTAAACCTAAGGTCATGGAAAACTGGAAAAGGTCATGGAAAAAGTCAGGGAATTTTAAGAATTCAAAAGAGTACGAACTCTGTAATATGTTATATCATTATTCAAGGTTGCCAAAAGTAGCCAGCTGCCGGAGAAAATTGCCACCTACTTTGCTTAGCATTTCTTTACGGATGGCGTTTTTTAGATAAAACATCCCTGGACTTACTGCTTACTTTGACAACGCAGCGGTCTACTTTAAAATTTTCTGACAACCCTGATCATTACAAGCACAATAATACATGGAAGGAATAATAGTAATACTTGTGTGGACATCACCTATTCAATTGATATTAATGTACTAACTAGAAGCACATTTGTTCTTTTAACTAAAGATTCTTTTGTTTAACTGCGTACATATTTGAATAACGAAAAACAATGTTTGTTAGCAGTGATGTCTCGTACAGAAAAAAAAAAATGCAGTTTAAAGAAAATTGTATATACATATTATTAATGTCAGCTAGCCTGGCTGGAGCCTGGAACTACATTTTAATCATATCATTTAACTCTGCTTTTCTGTATATTCCATATAAAGTCTCGGATGTAGAAATCTTCAGTTAATACGTCTTTTGATTCCACTATTTTATCATCCTCATGCATTTAGACATAAGCGTTTGTTTATGGGCTTGACATATATGGCAATCTCAAACACAGCGGCGAACGCAAGCATCAGACATCACCAGCGGAAGTAGTATGGCAAGATACTATTCTCTGTCCTTTAAAGAAAATTAATGATCCTGTCATAATCCACAAAACAGTCATCTTTTCTTCTTTTTTTCCCACTTCAATCTCGTCTGTGATTGGGCAGTTGTTTGTCCGTGAACCTTTCGAGATTTGCTGTCTGTTTCTGGCAAAACGTCGTTCTCGTGTGCAGATTTATCTGAAGGAATTACTACAATTGCCAATATACAAATCAGCTGAAAAATACCGCCAATGAAAAGTCCATAATGAAGTACCAACTCCCAAAAAGACTTGTCCTCCATAATTTTCAAACGCTCGACGCTTCGCACTCTCCATTAACTACGTCATGTAAAATTTGTATAAAAGTAACCATACCTCCTCTTTCCCAGAGCCTCTCAGAATTTTTCTCCGAACATCAACAAGACACAATGATTTATCTAAATGACGTACTAGGTTGCTTGGGCAATCCATCATGGCGTTGCGTCTACCATTTAATCCCAAAGACTATGGCTTATCTGAAGCATTTCGTCTCATAAACTACACCAAGCTTAAAGGATGAGGATGCAAAGTCCCTCAGGAGGAACTGCTCAAACTTCTAGAGGGACTTGGAGTGAATAAAGAGGAGGGGAAAATTGGAGTAGGGATGGATAGTTGTGTTCTTCCAACAAGACACGAGGGAATCTTCATTGTTCAAACCACGGATTTCTTCTACCCTCTTGTAGATGATCCTTATATGCAAGGAAAGATCGCCTGTGCCAACGTTCTAAGTGATCTGTACGCCATGGGAGTTACCAACTGTGATAACATGCTTATGCTTCTTGGCGTTAGTAATCAGATGACTCTAAAGGAACGCGAAGTCGTGACACCGCTTGTCATCAAGGGATTCAATGACTTAGCTTTGGAAGCGGGCACTACAGTAAATGGTGGACAAACTGTGCTCAATCCTTGGTTTATTGTTGGTGGAGTTGCTTCAAGTGTGGTGTCCAACAGCGAGTTTATTATGTGAGTTTAATTTGCTTAAGCTAATAAAATATTAACAGCTACTGCATAAGTTACCTCATATAGCCAAATTTTAAGAGGGGGAGTTTACCATTCTCTTCCCTAATATAATCAGATGCAAACCACATGATTGTGAAAAATAAAAAAAAAACTGTCTTAATAGACTTGTGGTTATAATGTTTTTATTTTGTTAGGCCAGAGAATGCAGTTGTTGGTGATGTGTTGGTTCTTACTAAGCCTCTTGGAACACAGATAGCTGTCAATGCACATCAGTGGCTTGAAGATGTGAGTATTTTACAATACAAATTTTTGCATGCTAGTTTACATTACCATTCTGGACTCCCACCAGTGTGCTAGGATTTGAGTACGTGCCATGAATGCCCTGTTAAAAAAGCCATTGCCAATTTGCCAATCAGGTTGAAGGGAAGTTCGTGTGGTAATAATTACCAGACATGCGTGTAATTATTCTTGGAGTCTCCCTGTTGGAGGCCCAGAACAAGGATATTGGCGCCACTTTGCAGACATTATGAACTGGGGTTAGATTATGTCTGTCTGCGACGCAGGCTAGAAAGCCATCAACATCATTCATTGTAGTTTACTATTTGCTTAAACAGCCTCCTTTAAAATAAAAATATCATCAATCAACCTTATTTCCAATCAATAAAATTGATGTTGTATTGCTAGCATCTTCCAAATATGGTAAGTCCCAGTTGGTTATGAAGAATTAGACAAGAGATTGGAGCCAATTAGAAATGGCGATATTAGTTTGAATGAATAATAATATCACTTATATACAGATACTATGTAATTCAGTGCTAGTGATGTTATCCCCCAAAATTGAGGGGCTTTAGCAACAAAAATAATACACTTGAAACTGGAAGGTATCAACAAACAGGGTTAAGCCTTTGCTACCTTCTACTCTCGTCATACTGTCGTCTACTGCTCCATAAGTTTACTTTTTAACTCAAGTATGGCTCTGTGCAACAACAATATTAATATCTCCATGTTGTTTTTGGGGGTAAACAGCCTAAGTGGTGGGCACGCATCAAGGATATAACAACAACTGAAGAAGTGGAAAAAGCTTACCAGAATGCCATGCAGTGTATGGCTAGACTAAACCGCAATGCTGCTGACTTGATGCACAAATATGATGCTCATGGTGCAACAGATGTGACTGGGTTTGGAATTCTTGGTCATGCAAGAAATTTGGTAGCTAATCAGAAGTCAGAAGTCTCGTTTGTTTTGCACACCCTTCCAATTTTGGCAAATATGGTGAAGATATTCAAAGCTTGTGGAGTAAATTTCAAGTTACTAGAAGGATATTCTGCTGAGACATCAGGTGACATATTTAATTGGTGTGTTGTATACCTATTGTAATTATTATAACAGTATATTTAACCCTCTCCAGTCAGCTGAGTTCAATTGGGTTGAAAGTACCTCAAAAACTTTAAAAGCCATTACCTTTCTAAAATATTATTTTCAGGTGTATCCATAGCCTGCGCGCAGACGAAATGAAGCTCTGGTTAACTAATCAGAGTTTAGTTATCGTGTGTATGCAGGCTAGTGTATCCATTGGCATAGTCTTAGAGGTGCCAAAAATGTCTGGTTGCAGGATTTTAAAATTTTTAAGCTAAAATACTGTTTTCATTCCATGCTCAGAGATTGTGGAAACATATAAGCCCTGAGAATCCATTGTTAAATCCAAGATTTACAGCTGATTTAGCAGCCTTTTCCTACGTGTATCACTGCTTTAGGACACAGAATGCCATGAACACTTAAGAATATCACTGAAAATATATATATACTGTGTTGTAACGAAAATGCCAGTCTGGTGTGAGATACATGTAATTTTAAAACAGCAAGCAGCAATGGTAATTATTACTTTTTTATTTTGTTGCTTGCTCACATATTCTGATCTGTGCTGTTAGTGGTCACACAAATAAAATAATCATTCCTAAAATTGTTCAGGTGTTTACGGTTTTGTAAAAGAGGAAAATATACATTTCTCTGGCTTAAGGTGGTTGAACATTACACCAGCTGAGCTTACGAAAAAGGTAAGGTGGGTGTTTTACAGTCTCTATTGTGGAAGATAAAGTGAACTCCAAAATACTGGTAGGTATTAGAACTTTATTGGTTAGTTTTCAGTTGTTAAAGAATTTCACTTCCAGTCCATTTATCCATCAGTTTTCCTTGCATTTCTTGCAGGTGGTCTTCTTGTTTGTCTGACACGAGACAAGGCTCAAAGCTTTTGTGATGAGCTACAAGCTGTTGATGGACATCCTGCCTGGATTGTGGGTGAAGTAGTGTATGGCAACAGAGAAGTCAGGATAGATGAAGATCTGAAAGTCATTGAAGTTTAACTTAACCCCCTCTTTCTGTTTTGGTGTACTAGTCTAAGCATATTGTAAGCATAGGAGAGTTTGAGTTACTGACTGACTGTGTTTTTAAGATAAAATTGATGAAGTTGATGCAATTGATGAAATTGAGGCAATGTCAAACATTTTTCATTTCATGTTAGAGATATGTTGTTTGCAACATGTGTTCATGGCAACAAGAATTGAGCAGCTTGATGCCATCAGAATGATGTAACTTCTTTGTAGAAATTTTCATTTTTGTCTTCAATGAAGGCTTTTGGGAAAATTATCATTAAATCCTAAAAGGCGGATGCTTAAGGACAATTATGAAATTTGTTTAACAAAGACAGTGTCTTTTTTTTAGAGATTCTGAAACCAAAATACATTGTATGCAATGAATTACTAAATAGATTAAAAATTTCATGTAAACTACTTTTAAGATCAGAAATGATTTCCGTACCTAACTAAATGTTTACATGGAAAAAGTTTCAATCCAGTGTTCTAAAAACAGTTTTAACAGTATGTTCATCTAAATAGTAAGCAATATGGGGACTGTTAATTGATCTTAGAAGCATGAGGATTGTCTTTGTTGCACTGTATACCACACCTTTTTTTGCCTAACCATAAGTTATACAGTTTTAAAACACTCCTGTTTACAATATTATTTTAATAATCATACATACTTGAATCTTAGAGAAATATATTTAAGATGAAAGATAAAAACATTGTAATACTATTTAATTTGTAAAGAAGTCTTAGTCAATGGAAGAATGTTAATTTAAGAGAAAACAGTAATATGACTCAATCAGTGAAAAATACATGTATAATCTTCGTTTATCTACATGTAATGCATAAAAATGGCAACCATTAATAAAAGGGCAAAATATTCCTGCTACCATTTTGCGCCTCTTTTGGCCAAGAGCTGTAAGTCTTAAAGCTTGCTTTTGAACATTCTCCAACATCAAATCTCTTTGACCTGGTAAGGACAGCACACTGGATTGGCATACTCCAGAATAATTATTAGCCTTACTAGAAACCATTCAAGGAAAGAAAGTTCAGATCTACTTTTCGGCTCAAGCATGGGCTTAATCATGCCAAAATGTCTGTTAGCTTTATTGCTGACCCCATGGTTGCATGGGCGGATCTAGGGGGAGGGTGCAGGGGGTGCGCACCCCCCCCCCCTGAGATGACCTGCTGTTTTCTAATACAACTGGTATTCTGCAAAAAAAAAAAAGTGGTTTATTGGTTTTGAAGTAGAGAGAGAGACGAGTGCACCCCCTCCTAAAAAAAAATCCTGGATCCTGGGTTGATATGGTCACTTCATCACAAGATCTTTCAATGATATTGATAATTCACTCTCTTGAGAAATTAACCAAAGCATTTCATAAACAGAGCTTAGACTACACTGTAAATGTGCCTGGAAGTTTTTTTTATTATTTCCTGGGTAAAATATATTTTGCATCACCATTTTTACTCTTATCTAGTATATTTAAGGGGTAGTGTTTGCTCTGAAGTAAAAATTTTGAAAACTCGCTACATCTTTTTTTGCACAAACTATTGATTATTACATGTTGGGATATAGAAACAAGCAGAAAGCCTCACCCATGGCTGAAAAACTAAGTAATGCTGAACATTGGTGCAGGATGATTGGAAAGCAAGTTTCTTTGCCATTTCTTTCCCAACAACTGGATTACATGGTTCGCACAACTTCAGACAAACAAATTTTAAGGACTTTTCAAGGACAAATTACAGTTTTCAAGGACCCCGTTTGACTCCTTTAACCCCCTTTGATCAACCTATTGGCTAAAACATGTCATGGAGTCATTTAAGATTTTCACTTCTTCAGCTATGGTTGATCACTTTATTCATTTTTATACCTCCTTCTGCAACAAGACTTTGCAGAATGACTGGGTATGACTTGCAATTTCATCTGAGGTACAGAAATACCATTTGAAATAGAGAAACAGAAATCAAATATTGTTCATGCAAAAAAAGGTTTTTGCGTAACCAGTCAGTTTTACAGGCTCTTACACTGAGGATAAGCCAAATTTTCCTCAGCAAAATAACCTAATTTTACGGTAGAAAGGTGTCTTGTGTTGCCAAGGTAGTGAATTTCAAGGACTTTTCAAAACCTAATGGAGAAATCAGGTACTTTTCAAGGACCTAAACCAAATTCAAGGACTTTTCAAGACAGCTGGTAAAATTCAAGGCCTTTTCAAGATTGTATGAGTCATGGGATTACCAGCCACAAGATCCTACTTTTGATCGCTTCAGTTGGCCATGCTCTAATGTTCAATTTATTTTATTTTTTTCAAACATCATTTACACTTGAACTCAGAATTCAATTCCTACTCACAAGGTTGTGCACTAGCAAACTGTGCTAATCCTTCAACTTCATCTTGGTCTATAAAATAACTGTCAGCTTATATATCCAGCCATTCTATTGAAATAGCTTGCTCAACAAAGCTTATAAATGGAAGGATTCATTCATAACTGGTTGTGTTTCCTTCAAAGGTTCAAGCATCCTAGTTGTTTACATTTACACTGCAAACCACGCCCAAAAAACCAAAGTAGGTGAGTGGAAATACTAAGATAACCAGAGCAGAACACTATCTATGATGTCAATCTAGTATACAGCTTTAATGGTATCTGACATATACATTTTGTTACTTCATGGGCCTTTGCTATGGCGCCTATAAATTACAAACTTACCTACTGGCCCCAGTTGTTCAATCATTGTGTAGCACAAACCACTGGATAAATCACTATCTAGCTGATAATTATTAATCCAATATTACCAGCATATATATATATATAGCTTTTGTCATTTAATTTAATTTGTATATTTTCCCCTAGCACTTTCTTTTAAAAATCAGTAGACATGCCAGTTTAACAAAAATGCCACATACTGTTTTAGGAAATCAAATCTGAGAAAATCCAAATGGTAATAGAAAACAGCCAATCAGTACTAAGCCTCCGTGAAAATGTGCATGGAAACATTATTTCAAGGAGTACAATAATTTGCCAACTCTCCCGGATTATCTGCAGGGGGTCTCCTGAATACTACACTGATCTCCTGCTCTCCCGTACAGGCCACCAAATCTCCTAGTTAAAATGGACTTATGAGCTTTTATGTGCCTTAGTTTGAAATTCAGCCCATTTTTTTCCCAAAATTCGAATTTTTTTTATTTATTGTACAGTTTCAGAGACACTTTTGCATGTATATAGTCACTGACAAAGATTATTTCATCATTACGATGATGAAAACAAATTTTGATAGCATGTACCTCATGTGAGACTTCATATATAGACTGAAGGCCGTTTCCATGTCATGATGGTGGTGTGGTGGTGGTGCATTGACATTCATGGAAAGGGGGGTGGTGGGGTAGTGCAAAAGAGAGTCTCCAGATTTTAGATCTCCAGAGGTTGGCATCTCTGGGAGTATAGGAGTTGGTAAAGGGTCTTGCTGTGGCTTAGAATGCTAATTATACAAAACAAATACTGTTTTTTTTTTTGTGGTATCTTGTTGACTATCTTACAGGAAAAGGTTAGCCACACTGAGATTAAGGCTTTACTCGAAACAGGCTAACTTTTTCACTTTTTCAAGTATTCATAGTGGAAGGACTCCCAAAAAGTAGCAACATCCCAAGCAGAAAAAGTCCCTGAAAACACATATAAGGACTGTCACTTTGAACAAGAAAGAAAACAATGCTGAGGGCGCTGATGAAATAGCCCGTTGTCCACAAAATTACATTATGTAATTACGCATAATTATTAGTCAAAAGGTGTAGGGCGATCAAGATCCCGGAACCTCTTTCTCAGGAGAAAATGCCTTCGTAAAGAAAGGGAACCAGGATCATCATCATCTTTATCATTCTTCTTCATTTTGAGAATTTCAATAGTTGACTTGCAAGATGCCAGACGCTTCTCCAGATATTTGACTCTCTCTTCTACGAGTTGCTGGGAATATCTTTGCTCTAACTGCGAAAACAACTCATTTTTCTTCAGAGTTTCCCAGTTTGTCTCCTGTGAAACAAACTTGGACATACAGCGGTGAATCAGTTCATCGCTTAGCTGGTGTCTTTGAGCCATAACCACAAACTCTAAAGCTTCTTCGCTTGACATATTCTTGATTAAGAAAAACTGCTCACATCGTTTTTTCAATCTGTCCATTTGGTATTCACAAGATAGCTCCAATAAAGAAAAGCAATTTTCTTCATTGATACGGTGTTCAACATAAGGGTAGATAGCCCGTAGAAGTTCTTCTATTTCGTCTGCCTTTTTACCAGGAAGAGGAATTTCTGCGGCGTTTTTCTCTTTAAAGTCGGACGTAAGCATTCTGTCAAAAACAGGTGAACACATCGATAAAATACAACGGTGAACGTGAAAGCGCTTTCCTTCGACTACAAGCACCAAGTCACTTATCGTCCAAGGTTGAGAGAAATCTAGATCTGGTTTACAGGTCGCGGTTTTTGAAGTTGAAGGAGCACCGTCCTTAACAATCGAAGGATAGGCAGACGCCATTGTGGGATCTTGCGTTTGGCGTCCAGTCCCCTTCGGAAAAAAATGGACTGCACAATCTCGTACCCAGCTGAACCGAGAGGGCAAACGAGAAAATTATTGGGGAGGGGTGATAGAAAATCACGAGGGTCTGACTTAAGAAAGCTGTGGTAGTTCAGTGCGGACAGTGCAATGGGCCAGGCTATCCCATGGTAGGATATTTGATCGAGTACAATTGCTAGGGGGATGGGGTATTTGTGCCAGGTAGTTGATTTTTTGGGCAGGGAGACTGAGAGCAAGGTGAACAAAAACTTCATTCTTTCTGAACGTGTATCTACTGTAAAAATGTCGAAAATTATGGTGGCAGCCCTCTAATCTCGTACCCAGATCTCAGTCTGTTTTACCCCGTCTCGCGTCTTAAGTCACGCGCGTGGTCGTTTACGCGTTTCCCTCGACCGACTAAGAAAAAGAGAGGCTGTTCGTAGGCTATTGAAAGGTTTGAACCCAAGAGTCATTTCATAAGTAGGTGAAGCATCAGCGTTCCGGTGATAGAGTCCTGGTTCCGACGGACTGTTGTTGACAGTGACTGACGTTTGGACGACCTGTGCGACAGGTCAACACTCAATACGTAGTCGTCTTGTACCTCAACTGCCCCTTAGCAAGCTCTTGCCCGTAGTCAATCTTTATCGCGTTTTAGAACTCGGGAAAAGGTCAGTAATTTACTTTCCTGTAGGAGGTGTCGGATACTGAGCTGTGTGGCTGGGTTTGCTTAGAGTTTACTTATAACCTTGTTTACATTATAAGATGTAATGCACTTTCACATTTGAATAAAAAATGAATAAATCTTGGTGGAAAAGTGTCAAGCAATTTATTTTCCTTACTTTGTTTGCGATTTCAAAAAGCCCGCTCCCCTGCGGTGCACGTGATCGGGAACGTTTTCTTAAACCATAAGTAATGAGCGGGTCTTTTCTAGCTACATAAATAATAATACAATAACTGTAACAATAGAATAATTACATTAAGCGGCGTCCTAAGACAGTTTCAGAAGATCACGACGCAATTTTAAAGCTTTGATAAGTTATTATACAATGATGACCAGAATAATCAGATGAAACAACAAAACAACAGAATAATAATGAGATATAAGCGAAGCATAATGTTCATTTTATGGCTGAAAACACAGAAGACTACGCCTGACTGCCCAGCTTGCGTCGGCGGGCTTTTCATCGGGTCTTTTGAATAAAACGCTACATTGTCTTAATTTATTACACCTTTTAATTATCCATGGGTAATTAATTTTGCGGCGAGAAAGCAAAAACAACTTTTTTTACCGAAAGAAGAAAGCTTCTCTTTCGACGACTGGCCTCATCATTTTTCAGGATTTTATTTCAGGGTACCTCGCGAACTCTTCATATCTTCCCGGAAATTTCGTCCTTTTTCCATGAGTTCAACCCGTAGCCCTTTTATTGTTATTCATAGGGCATTGTTTGAGTTAGCATTATTTCTCCTCCGAGCACAGGTAATTTATGGCTGGCGGTTGTTTCCGTGCGCAAAGCCGACTTTTATGTCAAGTCCACTGATATTTTTTTGTTATTATGTGACATTTTGCACTTAGTAATTGAAGGCACGCGTAAGAAGTTTACACAAATTGACCTTTTTAATAAGTTAAGTTATGAATAAAAAAGAGACTATATTTTTCGTGAGATATTGTCCCGGAGCACTGTCTAGGGGCACGTTTATTTTTCAGGCTCATGACTTACGAATAAACATTTGCCGATGTAGTTTACAGTTTAATAATGTTCTCATCATATCTGCTGGTGATTGATTATTTTTCAGCTTTTTTGAAGGAAATATGGTTGAATAACTGTGTTTGGTTACTGCGTATTTGTTGGAGTGTAATTGAGGATTAACCAGTTGAAATTTTGGCGGGAATTTTGGAGCAAGTGACATGACACAAGACGAAACGCGAGCTGCAAATAAGAAAAAAAATGCACCAGTGCTGATATTATTTTTCTATTTGGTTAAAAAAATTCAACCACTGGAAAATCCGCAGGGAGTTGATCGCTAACTTTTTGTAATCAAAAATTTAAAACATTTAATGGTCCAAGGGCGTCACTGGCTTGATACAAAGGAATACTGATTTGTTCGCATTCGCGTGCGAGAATTGAACGCCTGATTGCGAAACACTACCGCGCTTTCTGATTGGCCCAAGAAGAAAAAGGTCCGAAATTACGTGCCCGTGGCATTGTATATTTAGCACTAGGATTTGAACGCAAACTTCATTTCCTGACTCAGCGTCGCTCAAAGAAGACCTCTTCGATCAACAAGTTAGAAAGTATTTGCAATTGAACAGTCTTTGAGAGTCAATATGGCAGAAAGAATCCATTTGACAAGGAGACGACAGGTACATGAGAGTTCCCTCTTTAACCGCTGCGAAATGCACCGTGCCGTTTGAATTTCGTGTATTTTTTTCTCATTCGTTTATTTTTTTCCTTCCGACAGGCGAGCAAACCTTTGCTTGAGCGACAAAGACGTGCACGCATTAACCGAAGCCTCGAAGAACTCAAGGGCCTTGTTCTTTCTGCCCTCTACCGCGATGTAAGTTGTTTTACTAAGCTCTCTTGAATTTTGCGATAAGTCGTCCTTGTAAATGCAAATAATTTACTGTAGCATGAAGTATCGTGTGCGAGCTACAACGCGTCACTTAAGGGTCTTTTTGACACCTGAGTATTTGGACCTGTAATGATCAATGAAATTTCATTAAGGTTTTTCTTGTCGTTTGGTCTTTTCATCTCCTCAGAATGATCAAAACTTCCAAAAGATGGAAAAGGCGGAGATTCTGGAGCTGACTGTAAACTTCTTAAAGATGATTCGAGAACAACAAGTCACAGGTCAGTATTCGATATGGGAATTTTTCCATAGGTGTATTCAGTTTTCCGTGCAAGCTGCGAAACATGTCATTTTGATTTGTGCTTCATTGGAGCGATTATGTAGTTGGTTGCATTGACAATGGTCGCTGATATATTGTTCTTTCGGTTTAAGGTTACTGGACCAATCCGAGCGATTCAGAATTCCTGAGCAGCTATCGCGCGGGATTTAATGACTGCGCTACTAGAGTTTGCAAATTCATGGAAAACCAGCCCCGGGTAGACAGCAAACTACGCGAGCAGATTCTTGTACGTTTGGCAGCTTCTTGCAGCCCTGTTACACCAGAAAGTGTCTATTGTCCCAGTCCTCTTAAAACACCGTCGATTTACAGTTTTCAAGCGAGTGACTCTCTTTCCTGTTGCGGTGTCTCTTCGCCCCCGCCTTCACCCCCATCAAGCGCATTCAGTCCGTTTAATCCTGGTAATGGTGCCCTTTCTGCGGTAGAAGCTGGAAGAACTCCCAGAGGATATGAGGCCATTGAAAAATTGGACAGAAATTCTATGGATTCCGCAAGTTATACTAGGCCATTATGGAGACCGTGGATCTCGAAATCCCAAAATTAAGAATATTATTGACGACTTTGGTGCTGTTCAGACGATATTATCATGACAATGTACTATTTACAAAGTGAACACTAACTGCGCTCTTAAGCGCGCGAAGTAACAACGGAGCAGACAATTGAAAATCCGGCACGTGCATTTACACATTGAGTGCATTTCACCCACGACAAGTGCACTGCGTAAACGGAGTTGGCTGTTCTATTATATATTGCTCATATTGAGAGAACTGACAGAAGCCATTATATTCTCAGAATTGCAGTTGTACAGAGGTGTTTAAATTCAAGAGATCTCGATCCCGGTGTTTAAATTTTGTACGAATATATGTAAGGATTTCTACTTAATATTTGAATGCAAAAATGGCAATTAAAATAGCTTTTGATACACCTGAGGTGATAGTTGTCCTGTTTTTTTTTTCTTCTTTGCTAAACGGGTGGCGACTTTACTAACTGTCGGTTGCTAAGTCACTTACTCACTTCGCACGCTACTAGCTTTTATTTCGAATGAAAAGACCACCTGATTTTAAAACCATTATTTTTTTTATCGTTATACACTGATTACCGTTATCACAGATTTTCTCTGGACTTGACTTTGTTATGGAGTATCAATTCATATTGGTATAACTCCTCTAGTTACTTGAACGTCTGAGTTCAAGTTTCTTAGTCAGCACCTCTCGAATGCTTGTTTAGCTTTGCCTGTTTTCAGCAGCTTACTGTGAAACAGGGTACATTCTACAAGTTGAATGTTCCACCAGTAACCCATAACAGCGTGCTTCTCCAGGCACGTCTTCGTGGTATATATTGACTGGTAATCTGCTCTTCATTTTCAGTTGAACCAGATTATAATAAGAAACCTGGCAATTTTGTTTTTCATTTACTGGTGAATTTTGTCAATCCTTCATAACGTCAATAAAAAAATAGGTCAGGGGCGTTTTCTAAGGAGGTGATGGAAGGAAGGGGGATTTGGGTTCCGTAGTAATAATACAGTTAATTTGATTATGATTTTTTAAAACAGTTTTTAAATAATAGTTGATTGTAGTGTTTTTAAGTACAAGAAACAACAGTGAAACAGTGAGCGCTTTTTTCCTACCGAAGTGGACAGAAACGGAAATGAACGTCAAAACAAACAGTTCGTTTTGTCAGTAGATAGTACTCAATACTCGTGTGAAAAATAATACGTAGTAGTCTACTCATGAAACAATTAGGGCCATTTTCATGTCCAACCCGACAGAAACGAAAATAGATATCAAAACAAATCTTTCAAAGAACTACCATAATTTCACTTTTTAAGGTATTGCATATACTGTTCATACAGTTTGCTTTATTACTGACTTTCTCCTGTAATTATTTTAGATATTAGCCGTTATGTGCCTTCCGTTATTGTGTCGCATTAACGTGTGTTCTATTGTCTCAACTAAAGGTTTTTGTCAACCTGCTGTCGGTTGTCTCAATTCATTAGCAGCGAGTCGCTTCGATGTTAAAACGTCTTGCTCTGTTCGACCAGAGATAGATCAAGAAAATATGCATTTCAATAAGTACTGAAATTTTCATTTGCATTTTGGGCGGAAAATGTTGCAACTTCTTTAATTGTCGTTCTTTTCCTTATTACTGCACAAGGAAGACTTGTCAACGAATAGCTTTCTAAAACTATTGAATTTCCTTTTCACCAGCATCTTCCATACGTAATGACAATAAGACCACAGAGAAGCATGTAATTCAAAGGAAGCTGACAAAAGAATTTTTCCAGCAGTATACGCCATTGATGAAATTTTTTCCAGTGTAGGAATTTTTTTCGCCTGGTATTTCCTTGTAAGAATTTTTCCCTCCAAATCAGTCTTCAGGATATTTTTTCTGAAATCACCCATCCCTCTCAAAAGTCAAATGGTCAGGTCGGGCCTTATCTGAATGAGGCATGCACTACTGGAAAACTGTGAAAGCAAAACTTACGTGTCACTAGTTTGTATTATAAATAGGAGTTTTGCAAACAAATTTTCAAAAAGGAATCCAAGAGAATAGGAGGAACTCTTTGCTAAGGCAAGTGGATTGTAATCCAGAACCCCTGCTGGGATACCTGTGAAGCACCACAAAGCAGACAACACAGGATCACCAGCCCAGACAGACCGGGGCCGCGAACTGCGGGGTATGGCACGTGGCACAAGCATACATTATTGAATACACTGAGAGAGCATAAAATAAGTTGGGTTTTAATTATAGAGCCCATGTCTATCCCTTTGTACATATTTTCTATCCGCTGTATGCAAAGCCTTTAAAACCGGTGGAAGAAAATCGAAAATCTCAATAACTGTATTGTCATCCGCATCAGTTCCTCTGATCCATAGAAAACTTTTAAAGACTCATCATACTTAACGTGTTTTAACGAAATGGTTCATAACACCTGGTGAGATACTGTAGAACGAATCTCCTTTAAATTTTAAAACTTTTAATTATTTTGTCAGCAAAAGTCGTGAGTTACTGAAGGTTCTTGGTTCATAATTCCCTCTCGAAAATGTTCATTACACCCAGGAGCAGAGTAATCGGCTCCTGTTATACCATTATTTCATGTCCCGGGAGGGCAGTATGTTCCATGGAGGGCGTGGCGTCGCGGCCCGCGTCAGGGAGGAGGTTATTCAAATATTTCAAGTCGAACATTTCGTTCTAGTTTTTATTCCATCCTCTTCAGCTCCGATCCTTTGTGCAGGTGACCTTATAACGTGATGGCAAAAAACTAATAAGCGGTCGTTTCACATTCCATATCTTTCTGCTCTTCGGTCGGGATTGCCCTCGGGACTAGACAGCGCGAAGATGACGTGTGCGACCGTGTAAGACTGGACCGGAGTGTCACCGTAATGGCGGGCAGACAAGATGTTCTTCGTTCGAAGTAACAAGATAATTCTCGAGATCAATTAGAAAAAAATGCACCGAACCACAACAAAGGGTACAGGTAAGTCATGCCGCAAAAAGAGGCTTCGTGGAAAAGTACAATTTTGACTTCGGGCATTGCGTTCTTTGAAGAAAATTTTAAATGAGTCAGTGTACATGTGCAATCATTTATTAGAGGCAATTTTCATTCAAGTTCTGTTAGCTTGTGAGAAAGATAGAAGTTTACTTGCTTGCTTTTGTTTCTACAGATAGTATCAGTGTTGTTGATTAAAATTATATTTATGTAATGCAATCTTTTTCGTCAATAGATGCCAAGGCTGTGAATGAAAACCAAACTCATTCAAGTGTGGAAAATACAGAAAACACAATGAAGATGATTGAACAAGAAGATTTTGTGGTGACCAGCAGTTTGTCATTCCATGAGAACAAAGCAACTGCAGAAGAGAAATTTGTCAAATTGCAAAAAAACCCCACCGGGAATCACCATAGTAATGTTAAACTGTCCAGAAGTGTGACACTGTTACAGGGCATCTCTTTAATGGTAGGGGTTATGATTGGTTCTGGAATATTTGTGTCACCACGTTATGTCCTTTTACATTCTGGTTCAGTTGGTGTTACCCTAATGGTATGGATATCATCTGGTGTTATGGCAATGTTTGGAGCTTTGTGCTACTGTGAGCTGGGGACAATGATTCAACGTTCTGGCGGCGAACTTACTTACATTCGTGAAGCTTTGGGTCCATTAGCAGGTTTTTTAGTAAGCTGGACAATGGTTCTGATATTGAAGCCAGCCTCTGTAGCCATCATTACATTGAGTTTCGCATCATACGCTATTCAGCCATTTTTGAATGAGAAAGACATGGACACTGAACAGCTTATCAAATTTATAGCTGCTGTCTGTATTATTTTGATTACGACTGTGAACTGTGTAAGTTCACGATGGGCTGGTCAAATGCAGGTCATTTTTATGGTAATGAAATTACTGGCTATTGGGATTATAGTCTTGATTGGGGCTTCTCGAATTGTCAGTGGACACTATGAGAATTTTCAGTCTCCTTTTAAAGGTACAAACCCAAATATTGGAGAAATCGCCCATGCTTTCTTTAGTGGACTTTGGGCTTATGATGGCTGGAACCAACTTAATTATGTCACAGAGGAGCTGCAAAACCCTCACAAGAATCTACCACGTGGAGTAATGATTGCTCTCCCTCTCGTCACATTTTGCTACACTCTTGTTAACATAGCATATTTCAGCATCCTGACACCGGCAGAAGTTCTCTCATCTAATGCAGTGGCTGTTTCAGTGGCTGAAAAAGTGCACCCCACCCTTGTTGTCATTATGCCCCTGTTTGTAGCTTGCTCCTGTTATGGTGCTGCCAATGGCTCTATTTTCACCAATGGAAGAGTGGTATGTTCAGCTGCTAAGGAAGGTCATATGCCTCACTTTTTAGCCACCATTAATACCCATTTTAATACACCATTGCGTGCCATCATGTTCCCATCATCTATATCCCTCTGCCTGTTGATGATTGGTAATTTAGATTCTCTACTAAGCTGCTTCAGCTTTGTGGCTTGGATTTTCCTTGGTGGAACTTTCCTTTCTCTTCTGATCCTACGTTGGAAAAAGCCCCATGATCTGCGTCCTTACAAAGTATGGATTGGGATCCCTGTTGTCATGTTAGTGGTATCCTGTTGTCTTGTTATTGCACCTTTGTTGGCAAAACCACAATCATCTGCAGTTGCATTGGGTTTTGTCTTGTCTGGGGTCCCTGTGTATTTGCTTTTTGTTTACCGCAGTAAATAAGTTGGGTTAATTTTGATGATTCCTTTTGTTAGTTTACCCACAATGCATGGTATAAAAGGGCTTGGGATTTAGCCGTCATATAGTAAACATTGACATCTTTCACTCACCCTTAAATATAAGAAGTGAAATAGGCTCTTTGCATGACGTGATCAACTCTGGTAAACACAAAGACTGGTTAGCACAAGCGGAAAGAGCACATTAAAATTAGGTAACCTGAGAATTTTCAGCTGTATTTCTCAAAAGTAGTGATTGCAACGGTCGCTGAAAGTTGGAAGCATTTGTATGAGAAAAACAACTTTTGTCATCCAGTCACGGGTGCATGGTTTTCCATACAAATCCTTGTAATTTCGAAATTTTCAAAACTGTCATGAAATATTTTCTTAAGCATTACAGGGCTCAAATCTCCTTTTAATTGATAACAGGCAATTTGAGCCCTTAAATGCGTAAGGGAAAGACTTAAAGACAGTTTCAGAATTTTAGAATTTACAAGGATTTGTATGGAAAACCATCCAAGCGTGACTGGGCGGCAAAAGTTGTTTTCGCATACAAATGCTTCTAACTTTTGGTGGCTGTTGCAATCGCTGCTTTTGAGATATACGGCTGAAAATTCTCAGGTTACCTAATTTTAATATGCTCTTTAACCTTGTGCTAACAAATGTCTTCAAAAGCAAACTGTTTTCATGTTTACCCAAAGTTGATCACTTGATCACAGTCATGCAAAGAGCCTATTGTGAGACTCAGGGAAGTCTGCAAGTCTGAAAAGTAGTGGTAGACATTTTAAAATTTCATTTACGTTACAAAAGTGATATTTATGTTCTTGTTGAATTTTGTTACAAGTGAATACACTGTTAAGGCAACTTTATTCTCTCAATTCTTTATTTATTTCCACTAATATAATGAGTAATCTTAAGATTAAGAAGAGGTAATATACACATATTATTGTCTGTGGTGTCCAAAGTGGCAAGAGATTTCTAGTTGGAAACTGCCATGTTTAAATAAATGGCAGCCAAATAATAAACTAAAACTAAATCCAGCTTATTGATTTGATTTACATCAATTATTATAAATTTGTATAATGTCAATGTAAATAATTGTCAATATTTTTTCTTGAGACTGCCCATATTGGAAAATGTTCAGTTATCACAGGAAAAGATGGTATATACCAGTTACTAGTTGGTGTTATTTAAGTTTCAGTTTTCAAGCGAATCCACAAAATGATTTCTTACCAAAAGGCCTAGAAATCTTACAAATATAGATTGTCTTTTCTTTTCGAAAATATCTGTGTAAAGTGATCTTTGTGGGAAAACTAATCTAAACTGTTCTGGTCATGAATTATAATGGGTCAATTTTCGCGGGACCCAGATATCGCATGCACATTAAAAATGAGCTGAATGTAATAGGAAAATTTAGAGAAAAATCTATTGAAACGCTTTGATCTGGATGTCCAGTTTTTCTTGATAAAAATGTAATATGCCGGAATTCCTGCTAAAATAACTGACAGTCCAAACACAGACTCCAAGGGATTGGACAAAAAGGGTGTGGCCGCAAAACACAATGAAACACCCGCCATGAAAACAGGAATAACAATATTGACTTTGAAATATCTTGGTGTGTCTGCTTTTTTCCTTCTCAACCAAATCAAACCAATGAAAATGGCAGAGTAGATAAGCCATTCTACAAACAATAACCAGTTCAGTAGATTTTCAATATTAGTGGGGAGGAGCATAACAAGTGCCAATATGGCCCGCATTAGAACTGCTGGAATAGGTGTTTGAGATTCCCTGTGAATCATGGCTAAAAATGAGGGAAGCTGCTTCTCTCTGGCAACTGAAAATATTATCCTTGAACTGCTGAACAATCCCATGTTAAGAGAACCAAAACATGATAAAGACACAATAAGAGGCATAAGTGCTCCAAAAACCGGGCTCAAACGAGAAGCAAATGAGATAGCAACAGCATCAGAAGCAAGGATCTCTTGCTTTGTTAATACGCTGAAATACGCCAGGTTTATCAAGACGTAAGACAACGTAACTATGAGAACGGATATAACTAAAGCTCTTGGAAAGTTCTTTTTAGGGTTTTTAACCTCTTCTGTGATGAAGTTAAGCGAGTTCCATCCACCATACGCCCACATTGCACTGTAGAAGGCGTGGCCCACGTGACCTGGGCTTATAGCACTGTCATTAAAAACATGCTGTGGGTCAAACCCTTTGGTTTTGCCAACTATTAATCGGACTAGAGCTACAATAACTATACTGGCCACTGCAATCAGCTTACAAGATGTAAACAGTACTTGGACACGGGCTGCCAAGCGAATACTGAGGCAGTTTACAGCTGTCAAAATGCAAATTGCCGAAGATGCTAAAAGTTTCACTAAGCCAACCGGTGGTTCGCAGGCGATATCCATGTCGGCGGTTGCCTTGCTGGGAAAGAACGGCTCAGTAGCATACACAGCGAAAGTTAGGCTGAGTATAGCAAAAGAAGCGGGATCTAAAAACCACACATTAACCCAGCTGTATAAGAACCCGATAAAGCGGCCGTAAGCGAGTTTCAAGTAGATATAATCGCCACCAGATTTCTCGATGAATGTTCCAAGCTCGCAGTAACAAAGTCCTCCAAAAAGACTCACAACACCGCCAAACGTCCATATTAACAGAGTTTCCCCCATGGAGCCGGCATGTAGAACAACGTACCGGGGGGATATGAATATTCCCGACCCGATTATTCCCCCTACCACCATGGCGATCGCGTGGACGAGGCCAATTCTTCGCTTGATTTGAATTGTTGTTGTACCTTTTTCAGCTTCAAGAAATGGACTCCTTTCTGAATTAAGTTCATCCTCGTCATCCATGTTTTCTTCGTATTTATCCTCTCTTCCAACGTCATCAATACTACATTCTTCATTTCCCACTAAACTACGTTCCTCTTCATCCATTAACGGTCGTATATCCATGCCATGTAATGGTTAAATCAGCTTCGCATGTACGATTTTAGTTGTCTCTGTTCTAGTGGCAGTTGTTTTGGTTCGTTCTCTTTCCGTAATGGCTGCGGCTTTCAACCATGATATTGACTAATCGACATTACAATTTACAGGTCACGCACGTTCACGAGAGTAGGCCGGCAATCAAGAATCAAGTTACAGAAGTAAACTTATCAGATAAAATTACGATTTTTTTTGGTCACGATCACTTGTTAATAGTTTTCTTAGTCTCAAAATATTTTTTACAGCGGCAACTGCTTTTAAGATATGCTAATTTGTTTAAAGATATGCTAATCTCATTGTCAGTTAAAGCTAAAAACAAATTTAATCTCCACGTGTCTGTTGTTTCCGTCGCGCTTATGCGCACGTGTTCGAGGACCAAATTTCCACAAAGTTTGATAAATCTTGGTTCAAAAGGCTGTGTATTGCTCGTACATGGCACAGGGTTTGTTCAAGTTAAGTTTAAAAATTATGAGGACCCGGAATGCGTGGGCTGCGATAGAGACCTCAGAGCAAAAATAAACAATTGAGGAACAGCTAACTCGTCCGTAAGGTTTTTCGGGTGGGTGTTAATGGGGTGGGCACTCCGTTATACCTTTGGCTTAAACAGGGATTTGCCGCTAAATAATCAATAGTTTTCAGGGTCTTGAGTGATACACAGGGTACACAAGTCACTAGTTGGGTCTTGAATAGAGCCCTTTTCTGAAAGGCTTGAACAGAATTTAGTTATTCTCCTAAAGCAGCTTTTGCAATACTGTTTGTGGTTGTTTGGTCACGCTGTCTACATGTCTATCGGGTCGCATTTTTTAGTTTTGTCACAAAAAAAGAAATAAGTAGGTTGAGTATGATTTTCGAGTTGAACGTAGTCCTGAATAGGACTGTTAAGTTGTTGTTGACAGTGACTGACGTTTCGACAACTTGACTGTATTGAAGTGAGTTGTGTCACGTCAGTTGATGGCATTAAACTCTGGTTATTGAATGTTATTGGTCGTCTGTCAGTTAAACAGTGATGTTATTGGCTATGAAGACTGGTAATGTCATTGGGCACCAATGACATTAAGAACAGAAATACTAAATAATTCTTTTTGCATAATGACGAGAAATTGGGATATGGTAAGCAACATTCCGTCTGGTTTGTACCAACTGGCTGATGAAGGAACTACTTTAAAACATGGTCCTCAATTCTCGACTGAAATTTCCGAAATATGACCTGACCATTGATCTTCCGTCGAGAATTTTTTTACATTTTTGGCCCGCCAGACGTCCAAAAGGTAAGCACCAAGGCAAGCACCCTTGATGTTCTGTAAACGGCCTCAGATGTAGGCCTTTTCTGTCTGCAGAGTCTCGCTAAGTTTTAACCAGATGTATTCCAGATGTCTAGCCGGTCTAGGCCTCAATATTCTCCAGTCGGGTCACGTGGTCCGAGTGAGTTTGTTCGTCACTCCTCGCCACTTGGGACTTTTCCCTGGTCCCCTAGCCTGCTAGCGGCGAGGAAGGAAGGAGAGACAGCTGTATTCTAAGGCTAATACGTCACTGAGAAGCTGGGAAGGCAAAGCGCAGTTAGCGAGGCCATGCATTTGTTGCCTGTCAGTAGCCCATGGCCTGTTTACTTTGTTTGCATAAGAAAGAGCGAGCTTGATGTGTGATCCGAAATTGGGTTTGTTGTCCTTGGCCTCGCTCTACTTGCTGTTAAGAGAAGAAAAGTTCTCGGTATGTAAAACCAATAATTGGGCCGGGATGACGCAGATCAAAGATAACAACAACTTCGTCCCCAGGGCACTTTTCCCTGGCTTTGGAGGTGGGCGCTGTCACAGGTCACAACGTTTTTAGCCTGTGAACAGGCCTTTGGTCGAGTGCGGAACTATTTTTTTCCCCAAATCGGCACCGGCATAAATGGCCTATTTTTGAAAAATAAAATAAAATAGTTCTTCTCCGTGTGTGTTACTTTAATTCTTTGCTTTGGTTATTTATACTTCCTGGGAAATTTTCCAGCTCTAGTCAAGCTGACATCACTCAGCATTCAAAGTGAGTTTTCTTGCAGGAATTAAAGGGAACTTTATGCTTGAACTTCGATAGAAAATGTTAAAAATGTCAACACCAACAGTGATAGTTGTATCGAGGCGCTGGGAGAGTTTTATAGTTTTTGCTAACCACGGTTATCTTTCTACGACGGGATCCATTAGTAGCATTCTCTGCAATAATCAGGGTTCTGGCCGAGCTACGGCTTATTGCGAAGCATGAATAACAACAATGTATGTTAGCAGGAGCCGATTTCCCGCCCTGATGTTAGGCAAAATCAGGAGCAAAATATATGAATTACAATAACCATCAACGCCATTTTCCATCAAATGGATTCTGAGCCGTCGGCTCTAATTTGGCAGCTTGCCGACAGCACAAATACTTGACGTTCTGGAATCGCCATGGCTTCCGTCATCCTATGACAAAAATTTAGCGTTTCAGCTCGTAATTGCAGGGTTTGGAATGTCGAGCCCCCGACGAAAACCGACTGGGAACCAACCCGAGAACTGCCCCGTATGACTCATATACATTACATCGCATTTCGTGATATTGCACAATTACTAGGAACTCATTATTTCTTTTACCTTGAACTAAGCATACGTCAAACTGAAATAAGCCTATTATTAGCAATTGTATTGCTAAGAATAGGCCAATATAAAAACTGAACTTTGTCTACGTCTTTGATTAACTGCTGCACCGAAGTGAAGTACTGATTTCTTATATTGCCGGGTGGTAAGTCAAAATCACTTAACAGAAACTGATTTCTTTTTAAGGCCAAAGAATTAAATGTATGCAGAATACAGAAAACATGTCAGTAATCAACACGAAAAGGAATGAAACATCATATAATAAATGGAATATACTAATAAATACTTCCGTATACTATAGATGAATTTAGTTGATTCGGATGCATGTAATTAAAAAAGTACTTTAACACGTCTTTGGATTCTTACTTCATTGTAGTGCGTTGGTACAAGTTCAAAACCCCCTGAACCCGCTTCATAAGAATGGAACACAACTGTGCCAGTGTAGAAGTAAAGATTGGGCCGTGCAGCCGATTAAGGTGCCTGCACAGCAAATGTTTTTTTTATGAAGCATCAATTAGTGTTAGCTAGGCGCTAAGCCTGTTTTAACGACCTCCGGTTCTTAAGAAGGAATTTCGTGGCAGGTTTATTAATCTGTATGGTAATTCAAGTAATGAACAGTTGAAGAGCCGCGAGTTATTCAGCTGTCAAATGGCCGTGATATCTGTCTTTCGAAGGAGACTTTTTGACAAACGCAGCAGACTTATTTCTTGATCAGGCAGTGCATGAATGAAACGCCGCGGGAAACGGCCAGTTTAACAAAAGAAAGTTCTTTCTGAGTACTGTTTTATTACAAAAAAAATGTGACCCACTGATGCCCCCCCTCCCCTTTTACGTTGCATGACAAAATTGTATTTTGGCCTGAGTGACAAATAGAGGGTTTCAGCCGCCGGTAAGTGGGCTTTGAACGTGTTCAAAACATGGCCAGAAAGGCCTAGTCACTTTATAATGTCTCTTTTAAACCAAAACACTAATTAAAACTTGGAGTTTTCTTGTTTGTTTTCTGTTTGTTTTGGTCTTGGTCTTATTTTTGTTCACTGTTTATTTCTTTCAGACAAGGTTTGGTTCACGGCGTAAATAAGGCGTAGGACTCTGCTGCGCGCGCATCTTCCGTTCCCCATTGCAGGGACCCATCATTACAGTCAGTCAGGACTTCTGGAGAAATATCCAAACGAACATTTTCAAATCGTCGAGCCGTTTCTACCGACCCGAAAAATCCCGTTTCCTAGCCAGCACGCTGATTCCCCCCCCCCCCCCCCCCCCCCCCCACACCCCCCCCCCCCCACCCGCGGACCCGCCGTGGGCGGGGGGCGGGGTCCAACCCCGAGCCGGACAGCGGGGCGTGGGGGGGGGGAGGGGGGGACAGGGGGGGGGGCGAGGCCTATAGAAAAAACAAAAAAGATATCCCCCCCCCCCCCCACCCCCAACTGCATACGACCCAGGGACTCTTATGGGAAGCGCGGTTTGGGGCGCTTAGGATTCAAACCCTGAGCCGTTTTAAATAAAGTTGTGCGGCGTTGTCATTTTTCTTCTAATTTGTAATCTCCCCGATCCCATTGCGTGACTCCTGCCAGAGACTAATTAGGGACATGTGTATCACTATCAGTATGAACGGCAGCAGTACGTCACGATTACATCTCACGCTATTTTGGGAGACACGAAACCCTTTCTAGACAGATGTGTATTCCCTTGTGCCCACACACATACTGAAAAGAGACAAGTCTTAAGAAGACCGATAGTTTATATTCAATGAAGAAGGTTGAGTGGAGCGATTTAGGGCAGTATACATCTGAACTCAAGCACGCTCGCGTGATCAGTGTAAAAGGCCGCGATATGTTAACTTTGGACGACCCTTCCCCTAACTAACTTACTCGTTAATATATGACGCAGTAATATTTTACAGTTATCATAAAATTTAAATGTTTACTATTTTTGAAAATTTAAAACCTAAAAAAATTACTTATATTAAACTGGGTGAAATAAGGACCAGAAAATCGCTGTCCTGTATCAGCGCCACTTCACTGAAATCCTTTGGCAATATAATAGTTCGAATTATTGCTACTAGATTTTTTTATTGCCCTACTCAAGATTAGCAAGCATTAATTAAACTCACATCTCGCGTTTTTTAAGGGATACTTAAGTAGCCTTGGACACTAAAACTGTAAATAGAAAAATTCAAATTTGCTTGGAGCAGTTCCCGGGAAAAAAAAAAGAAAAGATTAAGAAGAAAAAGAAAAAGGCCACTAAGGGCTACTACAAAAACAAATTTTAAAAGATATTAAACTCACTGTAAACTAATAATCACAGCTGCGACATGTTAAAAGGCGAGATTTGTAATGTCTATTTTGGCCACAAGTATGAAAAGCGATC